CAAACAAGACAGGTATGCAGATAGCAAACCACACAGGTATACAGAGAGCAAACCAGACAGGTATACTATACAGAGAGCAAACCAGACAGGTATATAGAAAGCAAACCAGACAGGTATATAGATAGCAAACCAGACAGGTATGTAGAGCAAACCAAACAGGTATAAAGATAGCATACCAGACAGGTATATAGAGAGCAAACCAGACAAGTAAATAGAGAGCAAACCAGACGGGTATAAAGAGAACATACCAGACAATTAAATAGATAGCAAACCAGACAGTTAAATAGAAAGCAAACCAGGTAGTTAAATTGATAGCAAACCAGACAGGTATATTATACTGAGATTAAACCAGACTAGTTAAACACAGAAAATTGAATTTGCATTTTAAGGACATTTTTAAATTCACTTTAAAACTACATTCCTGCAGGCATAATTTAACTTTACTAACTCATTTAGTAAATAAGAGATCANACAGGGGCATATAAAAAGGCCAGGAGGAGCGGGAGTAAAGGAAAATAAAAATAAAAACTTTTAACATGGGGGTGAACTAAAACAGCTCTTGGCTATTGAGTCCGCCTGCTGCGGAAAATATTATTTAATATAAACTGTTATTTGTAAAAATTAAATTCAGAAATATTGTTTTTCAACTGAAATGAATAATTTTTTCGATTTTATTTGATTTAGTTTACTGTTTTCTCTTGATAATTATGAGAAAAACAGCTGTTAAGTCATTGGTTTCTATACTACTGTTGTAAACATGATGTTTAATGTTTATTTTCTAGGTAAAGAACTTGTCGATCTGCTCTACCAGTACTCCAAGAACAACCTGGCCCTTGTCAACGTGTACATAAAGAAGCCCGTGGTTACAAAGATCAAGTAAGGAGACATAAAAACACAATTTGCGAATATTTTAGAAACATTTTGTCAATTTATGTATCTTTAAGTTTTTAACTAAATATTTTATTATATTGACTAATGTTTTCGTGTAGTTCAGCAGGTCTTTTTATTTTCTTCCAGATTTGTGATACATCTAAAATTGTTGTTATTATGAGAACTCCTCTGGCTTTCTAAATAAATATTTTAAAAATTGTTTTTGTTGAAGTATGTTTCAAAAGATTTCCTCTCCAACCTTTATTTAAAAAAATTAGAGGTTGTGTGATTTTTGTCTTTTTTCTATGGTCTTCAGTTAGCCAATCTACGGTCAACAATGGTATTTTCTCTGGTCTGGAAAGACCAAATAGGTGCACAAAAAGCTAAAGAAAATAGGTCCAATTTAGGTCGTGAAAAATAGCAGATACAAAAACACTTCCCCCTTTGTACACGTAAATGCGAAAGTATGCTTTTAAATAAAAAATAAAGGAAGAACATTCTCACATAATGTTCTCAAAGATTTTGTGAGTTTTGTTTGCATTTTCTTCAGATTGATAGAAAAGAAAAAAGTTGATTTGCAAATTTGTTTTAAAGGGAGAGACCGGCGGCTATATAATATATTCGAGCTGAAAGTGCAGTATTGTAGTCTTGTAGAGAAAAACTTTAGGGTTCATTTGATACCAATAAGACATTTTTAGGGTGTACAATTTTTAAATAAGACCGTAAAGAAAGTTTTAATATTTCACCAGTTGTTTCAGCCAGCAGAAGAAATAACTCGGAAAAAATATGTAAAAAATTTAGTTTACAAACTATTTTGCTATTTAGGAACATATTTCTTAAAAGAAATCATCGATGAAAGTCATAGTAGAACCGTAGAATTGATAATTTCATTCGCAGATTTCTTCAAAATGTCGTCTTCACAATTAAAATAAAGTAAACCTCCAACAAGGTTCCCTATCTGAAAGAATTTGCAGAGATTTTAAAATGAATTTTAATATCCTATTTCCAATGATAGAAGTTTATTATTTTCTCAACAGCTGCTTGTATACATGCAATTTAGTTTATAGAGAAGTATTTGTTACATATTATTTCAATATGTTATTATATAAGAATTGTAAAAAAAACTTTTCTTCTGCTGACTGAAACAACAGGTGAAATATTACATACGATTTTACGCTCTTATTTAAAGGTTGTACAAAGCATTGATATCAAATGATTCCTAAAGTTTTTTTTCCAACAATACTGCACTTTCAGCTTAAATAGGTTACATAGCCTGTCTATCCCTTGAAAGGGATTATTTATGAATTTAATATTTTTAGAATTTAATATTTCATATTTACTTTCGAAGGATTATCAGAAAGAAAATTAGATTTAAACTGACTAATCTTTAATTACAGGGTGTCCCACGAAACATGACAGTGTGCAGGAAGACTTGAATGTCGTCTTAATTTTTTATATAATTTGCTGCGTTTATTTGTCAATCTAATTTTAGAAGAAAATTTCTAGAGATAATAATCACAAAATTTCCCTTGTCCTGCCATTTCCAAAATGTGGTCTGCCTTTTTTGTGCTTTCAATATTGGCCGAGATATGAAGAATTTCGTTCAGATTTCGACAATTTTGCTTTTATTTAACAAAATTGAAATCTGAACCAAACTCTTTATATCTCCGGTAATATTGAAAGCACAAAAAACGCAGACCACTTTTTGGAAAAGCCAGGGCTAGGAGAATTATGTGATAATTGTTTCAAGAATCATGCACGTTAAAGTAGACACAAGACTAAATGTCACAAATAAATTCAAATACCAAAGACGACTTTCAAATCGTCTTCCTAATGTCATGTTTCATGGGACACCCTGTATGTTCTTTTTAAAATTAGATTTAAACTGACTAATCTTTAATTACGTTCTTTTTACATATTACATAATACAACAAACAACTTTATTAATTGAAAAAAAATTTATATTTTTTATTTAACTTTCAGAAGAGACCAGAAGATTCCTGTGATCTGGTTTGTGGCAAACTCCGGGGGAATTCTGGGACTTTGTATGGGATTTAGTATGGTCACGGTAGGCAGCTTTATGTTATCTATTATTAGACCTTTAAAGGGACTGTGAGCGGAATTTCAGGTAACCCTCAATGCAAAGATAGCAATGGTCGATTCACAACGATGTCCTTGAAATCTTAGCTGATCAGTAATGTGGAACATGTTGCCGTTTCTCTAGGATTAAACGTGTTTTAAATAATTGCTTTATGGATTCATGCAAAAGAAATGTACTGCTGTAGATAACCCACAATTGAAAATAATTAGTTTTTTTAAATTATAAACATTTGACATCTAATTCCTACTTGATCAGACAAAGCTTTTAAAGCTACAGTTGTGAATCAGGCATTAAATTACTGATTAAAGGGGGTCACTTGGATTTACGCTTACAGTCCCTTTAATAATCACAAGACTAAAGTCTGAGGGAAATATTTTATATAAAAAGAAATTAGTTTTAATCCTTTCATTTTGCAGAATTTTTTATTTTAAACTTCTGAACTTTAAGGTTTTTGAACTTGTTCACTACATGTTGGTCTGTTTGTGGAATGGAATAACAAACGAAATCAAGGTAGGACAAAAAGTTTGATCAATTGAATTTAAATTTTAATAGAAAGATTTTTTGTTTTCGAAGTATTTTCGATCCCAATTTGTCCCCTATAAAAGAGAAAGGTTTAAATGGTACCGTTAAAATCGAACATGCCGCTCTTAAAATAAAGTATCATTTAAAATTAAATCCACACTCTAGGGGCGTATTCAGTAAATTGTCCAGGGGGGGGGCTTAAATTTTTTTTCTTTCCAGGGGAGGGCTCAGCACCCGCTGGGGCCTGAAAACCCGCTGAAATCCATAGATTTCATTGGTACAGGGGGGGGGGCTTAGCCCTCATAGCCCCCCCCTTAATACGCCTCTGCCACACTTCCTTTAGTGCTGTCATAATAGGATTTAAGGCTTTGCAAAATATAATCTTGGTTTAATGCTCTAGCTAATTCTGGACATGTTTTAGAGAATTAAATAAATGGTTGAACATGGATCAAGAATTCAATATTAGTTTAGCAAATCTTTTCATTACATTAAAGAACTTTTGAACAATTAATCCCCAAATCATAATTTGTTTACCTCACTAATCACTAATCCAAAATAAGTGAATTTTAAACTTTTTCAATCTAATATTTTATTTAGTACTATAATCCGGTGGTAGTTTGTTAACTGATATCATTAGGAAAAATGACGTGTTCCAGGTCTTTATACAAAAAAAGACCCGAGCCAAAAAAACGCATTTTTTATGTTCTCGGTCACTTATTGGGCGTTTTAACGGGCAAATTTCAAATTAATTTATTTTTTACGTATGCAATATTTTATCTTAATTTTATCAGAGGGAGGAAAAGTTTTGCTGTTCCTTGGTTGGGAAACCACAAGAGAACACAGAAGAAAAGAGTTGTAACCTAGAACTATCAAACTCTAGCAATGGTAACATTTTTCACTATCAAGATATACAGAGAACAAGAAAGTTGTGGAATAAATGTTGTCTTTGTTCTTCTTAAACAATGTCTCCAAGTGGTTTGCCTTTATTAAAAATTTGATATTTTATTAAGCATTTAAAAATAAAATTTACAAGAAGTGGCGGTAGACGCAAATCTTCTGGCTCTCTTACAAAAGGTAGACCGTTAAAAGGTAGACCGTTAAAAGGTAGAATATATGTTTGGTATATACCAAAGGTAAGAATTACAAAAAGTAAAAAAAAATAATGTTTTCTTGCTTATTTGAACTGCTAGTTCCAGCGTTCGGCCCCCTAGCCTGTCCTAACATAAACCTGAAATAATACATTTTATGTTCATTTGCTAAACAAAATTGTAATATTTTTATTTTAAAATGAACATAATAATAGTTCTAACTAAACCAAAACATAGTTCAAATGTTTGTATCCTTTAAAGTTGGAAAATTCTATCTTTTTATTTCTACCTTTTGTTTGTTTCACCTTTTGTATGCTCTACCTTGTGTGTATTCTACCTTGTGTATGTTTTACCTTGTGGATGTTCTACTTTGTGAATGTTCTACCTTTTTTATATCCTACCTTGGTTATGTCCTACCTTTTGATCATTCTACCTTTTGTAATTCTACCTTTTATAGGAGAGCCAATCTTCTAATCTTGTCCGCATTTTGTCCACATCTTGCCTGCACCTTGCCCGCATCTTGTCTGCACCTTGCCCGCATCTTATCCATATCTTGTCTGCATTTTGTCCGCATCTTGTCTGCATCTTTTCCGCATCTTGTCCGCATCTTGTCCGCATCTTGTCTGCACCTTGTCCGCATCTTATCCGTATCTTGTCTGCATTTTGTCCGCATCTTGTCTGCATCTTTTCCGCATCTTGTCCGCATCTTGTCTGCACCTTGTCCGCATCTTATCCGTATCTTGTCAGCACCTTGTCCGCATCTTGTCTTCAGTACATTGGACAGATAACCAGACATGCTTATATGCAGTACACACTGAAGCATCCCAACCAAGAGATATCCCCAGTAGACTAGAATCAGCTGATAGTGCCACCTGGCCGCTTAACACAAGAATTGTGATATCCTGTAAAATCCATAAAATCCAAATATCCTTCCCAAACCATTGTCCCAATCAATGCCAAACGTCAGATGAAGATAATGCCTATAACAAGACAGGTGTAATGTTCTGTAAGCCTACGGATTCTAGAAACCTTGTCAGATCCTCGCCGTTCAATCCAATGAGGAATTCATACCTGGAATATTCAGGTTCACCAGATGACCCCAGGCTGGAGGCCGCCCATCAAGAAATTTCTAAATCTGTTAGAATTGAAATTTTGAACAAAGAATCTCTCTTCTAATAGGTTTTAAAATCGCACTAATGTAAACTGAAGTGCAAAATCCAGTTCATTTCAAGTACCAGGCCGAATTTTAAGCAGCTAGGGAAAGCTGCGGAACACTGTACAGTACACATACAGACTATGTAAGACAAAACGGGATAGTACACCAAATGAATGATCCGCCTCTAGTGAAATTTATGGGAGTGTACACTAGCAGAAGTGTGCCGTGATTTTCCGGAAATCATCAAAAAAGAAAATGACGTCTGAAATTTTGAATTTTATTACATTTCTCTTTTTATTTTGCAGCTTTCCTATTGATATCCCAACTCCCAATACACCCCTCTAAGAAATTAACTAAGAGTGAATTCTTTATTAAATTTAGAAGAATAGGTATTCAGCACTTTCATTTTTGATTTGAAAATCCGGCCCTGGGATTCAAAAATTCTTATTTGTTCCAAAACACATGAGTGACAATATTTATCCAGGCAAAACCAGTATTTCGTAAAATTCATAAATTTTACTAAATACTTTCCGCGCATTTTTTACTTTAAGAAAACAAGAAGTTTTAAACCCTGGCAGATTCCAGAATGTTCCGTCGCATATAATAATAATAGCTTAAATATATGTTAAACTATTGTCTTTATTTGTGTATGTACGGTATCATATATGAATACATAGCAAGAGCGTATGAAATGTCGTCTTGGGATTTATTTAAAAATTTAGGACGGCTGTTATGCTTCATCATTGGTCTGCTCAAAAAGAAAGTTCAAAGGGTTGAATACAATTTATGAAAATATATCATAAAATATCATTGTAGAGTCATAAGTTTTTTGATCATTCTTAAGAAACTGCTTGTTTTTTTAATTCAAGATAAATTAATGGCCTTGAATGAAGGACAGAAATAAATACAGTAAACTAGTTTTTCCGCGACATTTGCTCCTGATTTGCTCTTAAATATGTTGATAATACGACATTATACAAAATTTCTGATATGTATTCATATATCTGGGATTCATTGTATAATGTCTTTACAGCATATATTCTCTATTTTGTGTGATTTTGCCTCAAATTGTAGATTTCAAAGTTTTCCTATTGATATTATTCAAATATAAATTCAGTTACGACTGGTAAGGTTGTAGATAGGGATGGATCGTTTTCACTTTTTTAACAAGCGATCGTTTCGTTTTAAAAACAAGAAAGAAAAAACAAAAAACGAAACGATCGGTTTTGAAAACGATCGTTAATTCGACCTTGTTTAGTTAAAATAAACCTTTAGATCAGAATACCTTAGGTCAGAAAACATTTCTCTCGATAAAGGAAAAACATTTAAGACAACATTCATAAACTTATCTTCCTGAATAAAAATTGTCATAAAAAAATTAGCGAAAATGTTTTCAAAAATGAGTTTACATGAATTGTAGTTTTTCGTTTTTAAAAGTTAAAAACAATCGAGTGGTTCGTTCCTTGTAACCCATCGTGTTTTTTAAAAATGAAACGATCGTTTTCTCAATTGGTTTTAAAAACGAATAACAACCCTAGTTGTAGATATAGTTTTATGAAATCCGTATGTAATTTTTTTTTTTTTTAAGTTAAAATTTATTTAAACAAGAGACAGCAATGATGAAAGGAAAAAAACGCACAATTTCTCCAGCTTTTTCTTGTTTCTATTTCTTGCGCAATTTGCACAGGGGTAGATACAGGGGCGGCGGCAGGACCTTCGCACCCCCCCTGACGGAGATTCAGAATAGCTTCTTAATAATAGCACTTAAAAGAAAGAAAACCTAGTGCAATACAGGAAAAATATCTATCTTAAAAAAATTTTGTTCCTAAATCTGGAAGCTTTGTTCCGAAATAAATCTAGCACCCCCCTCACTTAAATCCTGTATCCGCCCCTGAATGTGCATGCTTAATTCCATTCCTTAGCTGTCAATTGTAATATGCATATTACAAATAAACTTAATTAAATTGTTAATCAAAACATATAAACACATTCAATAATTTACTACAATTCATTTATGAACAGTTTATTGATGAAAATTACATATATCGTAATAATTGTAATATAATGCCTTAAAAATTTGTTTTAAAAAGTATTTCTGCGAACTTTTTCTTATATTTTGAACAGCAAAATTTAAACAGATTGTCGATTTAATTCTTATATACTCAATCTCAAGTTTTCATTGATATAATGTTTTATTAACTAACGTTCTATATTATAAAACACATTTTTGATGAAAACTACGAGCATTTTATCGAATCTTTTAGATAAATATAACAATAAATATGGCACGGGCAGCCGTAGTAAATTTGAAATTCCGAGCCGGGTCAACCTTTCCGGTCCCAGTTTGTACTGTATCGCCTGGACATAGGGTAAATAAAGCAGACACTCAATATGGACTGGCCGGTGCAACAAGATTGACACGGTCAGACTTTAGGTTGAATTTACTTTTACTGAAGGGTCAGGGGTCTGTGATGGATGAGTTGAATTTTTTTATATTTGTTCCATCAGATTACTATTGAAAATAAACACCTATTGTCAGCTGAAAATAACCCCTCCAACAAATTGTAAATGTTATGAAATATTTAGTAGAAATCCCGTAGTTAGCACGTAGAAAAATATTTTATAGTTAAACATTGCTCATTAAAATTATTCACTGTAATCCTGCTCACTCTTGTTAGCCTTCAGAAGAAAAATGTCAGATCAAATATTGTACTGAATGTATATACGTGTTCTCCAGTACACTTATTGTACTGAATGTATACGTATTATCCAGTACACCTATTGTACTTGATAAAATTTATTTTGTTTAAACCAAAAGAATTGATTATATATTGTAATTTGTTTGTAAATGTTTTGTTGACACCAAGGAGATAATGAATAGAAGGATGGGTCGATAGGGTTTCCGTACACTTTGCTGTGACGTTTTTGGACTGCACTGAATTGAACTTGTTTTTGCGTAACAACAATAATAAAGATTGTATAAACAAGAACACAAATAATAAACAGACATCTATGGTGGGGGGGGGGGGGGGTAACCTTGAATTTGATTGAAAATGTCTCTGTAATAAGGTCCTTTTTGTATAAAACTAAAATCCTTAACTTTTTCAATCTTTTTTTAACAAGATTTAATACTACTTTCACAGTTTACTAACTCATGTTTGTTTACATTAGATCGGCTGCCTTTGTTATTGTTGCAAAAACTAGTTCTACAGCAGTTCAAAAACGTCACAGCAAAGTGTACGGAAAACCTATCGCCCTCTCCTTCTATTCAATATCTCCTTGGTTGACACTGTAATAAATAACAAATACACATGTATATAAGGTAGAATGAAGCTAAAAAAAAATATTTAAATCAGTAATAGAGACAATGTCCTTGTACTGTTGTACAGTTTATAATATTGTTATATTTATGCTTATATATAATAAATCTATTTATGCAAAGAATGTTTTCAATGTGGGCAGGGAATAAGAATAAAGGGAAGGGAAATGGCGCTGGTCTGGCATGAGAAAGCCAGTCGCACTGCTTTTGCAGACGAGTGCGCACACTTTTGGTACAGACACACAACATGACTATATTTAAGGTAGTTGACATTTCATAATATTTTTTATTTTTCATGATCTGAGAGTTACTTTTGAAAACATTTATTCCTGTTTCGAGGATTTTTGATAATGAAGACGATATTTTCCAGGAATGTTCGAAAATCCAGCGCCAGCG